GATAATTAGCAGGGTGCAGAGAGAGGGGAAGATGAAGAAAGAAAGATTAAAAGAATAAATAAATAAGATAAAGGAACAAAAAATTGAAAAGAAAAAATAAATATAGTCGTTAAAAATTAACAGAATAATTCAAGTTGCAACTCGATACATTGTATTATTTTGAGCTTTACATTAATCTACTTAACAAAAAGAATTCTTGATTAGGAGGAATGTAAAAATCCAAACTTCTATCAGGGAGCGTTTGGCTTAATAATAAGCGTTTGGCTTAATAATAATAATAATACTGAAATTTTTATTGAACAGAAGAATTAAAAGTTTGAAAATTACAATTTTTTACGGTTACTTAAAATGTTCAAATAAGGGTTAAAGGAATATTCAGAACTTAAAACAAGAAAATCATTACAAAGTAATTATTAACATCGATTTGAAATTGACAAAGCGGAAAGAGATAGTTACTTAGTTAGTCTCTTACTGTTTAGGATCCGGGTTTTGGTTGTTCAGATATGATGAAATGATTAATAAGAATGAGTGAGTTATACTAATTCAGTAAAAATATTAATACATTACCACCGACATAGAAAATCAAATGATTGTAAAAAAAACATAAAACAACCAATAGAGTTTAATTTTAAGGAAATTCGAATGCTAATGCATTCTTTGTTCGTTTTACTAAAAACGTTAATATTCCATTTTTTGACAAGTAGTCTATCAAACACAATACTCTAAATAAAATCAAAACAACGATTTAATCACAACAAGCATACATTCAAATAAATATGTAATATTGGGTTCTTTACCATTTTGCCTAAAATCTAGTTCTTTTTCGTACTCATTCCTGTCTTATCATTTTTTTTTTCCTTACCGGTATCATTAGGGCCTATAGAGATCCCCGCTACGCGTGGATATATAAGACTTCATTTGTAAATTAATCGGTTATCCCTATACCCCATCCAGTAATGATAGTCACAATTAAAGACCGTGTGCATACCCCGTCCGGTTGTGATAGTCACAATTAAAGACCGTGTCAATACCCCATCCGATATGAATGGGATTAATTAACTCCCAACTTCGTATGATATGGGACTTCTCAACTCTATATAGTTAAGGGTAACGTTCATGGTAGGGTTCGCCCTATATACCAAGTTTGTACACTCTTTTCTATTATACCTGATAAGCCCTTTTATTCAATAACATTGGTTTATGCATGCATATTTTCCATTATTATTTAGCCATCAATAACGCATAAGACCCATACTTCAAAAATACAAAAAAAATGAAATTCATGCTTCAAAATTTGTTAAGAGATAAAACCATTAGTAAAAGTGGAATAAAATATCATGATAGACTAGAAACATCAAACCTTGCGATAACATGAATAACAAAATGAAACGATAAGTTAAGGTGAAATTAAGTAAAGCGGAAGGTGATAATGAAGCGAAATGAAATAAAATCCAATGATTCAAGAAGCTTGATTAATACATTGGTTCTAAATTGATATAACGGAAGAAAAATAGAAACGAGTTAGGGCAACTGAAAAGAAATAGACTAAAATAAAATAAATTAAAATAAAATAAAATGAAATAAAAATAAGAAAATAAAATTAAAAAAATAAAAATAACCAATAGATAACACGAATAAGCTAGTGACGAACATAAGCAAATCGATTACTAACTCCATCGGCAACCTGTATTTAGTCATTAAAGGGTCACAGAATTGTTTAGAACTTTCGTCTTTTATCGATTAAACTTTGATATAACTATAACAAGGAAAAAGTTGAGCAACTCTTACATTGGGTCGAGGTCCAGAACACTGCCTTTTTCAATTACAGTTTCCAGTGGTTTCTGGCTCTCGGATTTCTTGAGTTTTCTGATAAAATTTGGAAACACACATTAAAACAACATGAAAATACGTAACGAGTTGTGAAAAAGGGCAGAAAAAACTCACCGAGGTCAGGTTGGGGTTCTGGCGTGGCAGCACTGCCGAGCTCTGCCTCCTGGTTCTCCTTCTCCAATGTTTTGCCCTCTCGGCCAAACCAATTCTAATAGGTTCATGATGGAAATTAGTTTAAATCGTGGAAAAGAGAGTATTTTACTAAGAAAATAGGAAAATTTTAGCCTTACCAGGCAGTTTCTAATTTTTAATGTGGCGATGCAACCGTGCTCTGCCGCTTAGCTTTCTCGGGTTGCGACCTTCCTTAGTTTTTCCTACATTGGAACTAGTCTAAACAACCTAGGGCAAGAAAATAGGGAGAATAGGAAATCGGTGCATTTTGGGTCTTCGATACGATGGTGCCGTTGTCCCTCTAGCAGTTGAGCTTTTCCTCTAACTGCCCTTCTTCTTCTTTTTTAGTCAAGATGTCGGCTAGGGTTTAGGAGTCAACTGAAGAGAAGTTTGAATACTTTTCTTCAATTGATCTGGGTCGTTCAACCTGGGAGACATGGAGGCACGCGGGCCGTCTGATCGCGCTTGTTTAGGAAATTCATCTGTACCGTTTGATTCGGGAAACATGGAGGCACGCGGGTCGTTTGATTGAGCCTTTTTAGGAAACTAATCTGTGTCGTTTACGCATGCGGGAGTGGTCCTGACCCGCCCGATCGGCCTGACACCCGGATTGCCAGTTTGGGTTCCCGTGTGGAGCCCTTATTGACACGGCACCTCCCGATTCGTCGTGCTGCTGACGTGGTCGTCCTATGTGGGCCATTTTTTTTAATTTACAAAGTGATTCCAGTTTTCTAAGTTTTCTTTCAAGCATACCCCCCTTTATTTTATAAATTGGCATAGATTTATGAAATTTCTTTTAAAAGTGTCCAAAATACACATATACTTTTTAATGATTATTTTTTCACCTTTTTTGTAATATCTAGACTCGAAAAAGCGGCCTGAGATAATTTTTTCTAATTAAATAATTCTAGTAAAATAATTATTTTAATTATTTTAATTTTATTTAATTGAAATTTTAAGAAAAAATAAATTAGGGATGAGATTAAAAATAATTTTGACAAAAATGTGTGAAAATTTGAGTTCATGGGGTGTTTTTAAAAGAAAAATTGAAAACAGGTGGTCAAAGTATAAAATAAAAAAATTTGGCCACGTGGGACGGCTTAGTCAGCAGCTCCGATAAACCGGAGTACACCACGTGTCAAACACACTGATGTCGGTGCCACGCAGAAGGCCACGCAGACGATCCGCGTGCCCAGCGATACGATGGCCCAAGTTCGATCCCGCACGTGTGAACGGCTTAGATTTGTTTCCTTTTTAGATGCAATCGGACGAACGAGATCAATCGCAATAAACGGTTCAAATTTGTTTTCTCTTTAGGCACGATCGGACGAACGAGATCAATCACGATGAACGATCCAAATCAATGCAGGATGGGTATAAATACCTTGCATTGTAGGAAAACCCAAACTCTAGCCGCCAGCTCCCGCCGAAGAAGAAGAACTAGGCGTCGGAGAAGGAGGCCGACCACCGTCGCAACGGAGCCACCATCGACTGCTAAAAAAGTTAAAATTTCCCCTGCTCGTTCGAAATTCGATTCCGAGCATCCCTGTAGCCAAATCAAAGTAAGAAGGATGACAGGTGAGCCAAAAACCGTAGGCAAAGTCTGGTGGAGCCGCCACGGCCAAAACCCAAAAATCCCTCTGATGAGCCCTTTTTCGCTTCTCGGTTCAAGTAATTTTTTGATCATTATATTCACCGTCCTTTTTTATCCAGGTCAATCAAAGAAGAAATCCTAGCTATGAAGAAGAACTAGCGGAGCCGCCACACCCGAAGGCCCCCCTCGCTGATAGGTTCAGTTTTTGTGATTTTTTGGTCAACTGAGGCCCCATAACATGTTTTTCTGTTATGATATGTATAAAACCGGCCAAAATTGGCAAACTCAAGGTGAACCGCCACCATGTGTGGTGGAGTCAGCGCCAGGGTACGACACCGTCGCCATACCGAAACCCCAAAATTGGCCAGAAAGAATTTTGGGTACTAATTTTGGATTTTTTGGGTATTTTTAGGTACGTGACGAATGTTTTGGGTTCTGCAGGAAAAATTTAGGAAACTTTGTATATGTTAAAAGGCGTATTAAATAGCGCACCATCTCGAAACATCGATCTAAATAAGGATCCCTCACCCTATTCTCCGTTACGGTAAATTGAGACTTAACAATATATTTTTTATTTTTGTGAAAAATTAAAAAATTCTAAAAATAATTATATGTCACTAGTAGAGTTGGAACCGGTCAGTTCATAATTATCATGATTTTCTGTTTGTTTTTTGTACTGTCCTACTTGTTTGTTATCGTATTGTGTATGTTCTTAATTTATAGTTTCAATGGTTTTATCAATTTATTTGGTTTATTTGGTTCTCTGATTACTCGATCTCTTATTATGATAAGTTACATCATCTGCATAAATATAGTATGATTAATCTATAAATATAATATAAGATTTTTTTATGCGTTTATTGGTTATTTTACTTGATGGGAACCTTTATGTGAAAAACTTATTGAGTACCCAAAGAAAGAGCAGATGGGCTCGATACATAGAGAATCCTACCGTGAACATCACCTCAGTCGAACAAGGCTGAAAAGTCCCATACCGAAAATGTTTAAGAGATATAGTTCACTATCATACCGGATAAGATATCAAAATAATGGAATGTTTGGCACTCATTACCGGATGGAGTATAGGGACATCCATTTTAATTGTTAAAATTAGATATTGGGTTCATGAGAAAGAAGACATCCCTATGGACCCCCAGGGATACCACTAAGTAAGTGAGAAAGGAAAATTGTCGTCATTTGTTCTCTTATGTGTGAAAATAAAAAGTGGTATGGATATGGGTCTTCATAGGTTGTTTTTTGAAAAACTCGTAACGATATGTATCAAAAAAACATTTTATATTAAATGTATTTAATTAAAGTAATGGCTCCATTAGTTAGTTTTTTTTTATTTTTATCAACCTTCAATTTTTCATATTTGTGATTAGTGTGAGATTCTTACTGGGGTAGTATAGCTCATCCTTTCATTAACCATTTCAAATCAAGAAAACCAAGATCTAGATTCTGATCAGCAAGAGGGTTGTGAGTAGTTCACTACTTGAACTCTCTTCAAGTGTTAGTGAATGTTATTTTAAGATGTCTATTTATTCGCTTTTCTTTAATCACCATTTATTTTTTAGAATGGACATTCTCATAGCCCTATTGGGCATTCTAAATTATTGTGTAAGGAATGTAAACCCTAACTCTATTATTCACTTTCGTATTTAAATTATAAATTTATTTCCTTTAAGGTTTTGGGTCTTTACATTTTTAATAATTAAAAAAAGTTAACTATTATTATCATTTAAGAAAATTTTAATTTTACTATCACAAGACTAATTATCCTGAACTCGGGATGCTACAACTCCTCCCCCTAAAAAATTTGGTCCCCAAATTATTACCATTAGTCAAACAAATAAGGATATCTAGTCTTGAATTCTAATTCCAACTCTTAAGTAGTCTGGTCTTACAAGTGATTCTGTCATAAGATCTTAACAAAAAAGATTTCTCTATTACGAAGCATCCTGCTCTTTCTGTCCATGATGTTGATGGGTATTTCTTCGTAAGAAAGATCCTTCTGAAGTGGAAGAGGTTTGTGGGTTGGTTATACTTGCGTAACATTGACATATGGAAGACATCATGGATACCAGATCATTCTTGTGGAAGTGCTAATCTATAGGCAAATGTTCTAATTCTATCCAAAATTTTGAACGGTCCGATAAACTAAGGATTCAGCTTTCCCATCTTCCCAAATCCAGTGATGCCCTTCAGGGGGTTGACATTAAGGAAGACTCGATCACCTATCTCAAATTCTAAATCCTTCATTCGTGTGTTTGCATAACTCTTCTGTCTACTCTAGCTATTTGGAAGTTTTTCCTGATTTTGACAATCTTCACTGTGGTGTCCTCCACAAGATCTGAGCTAATCAATTTTCTGTCACCTATTTCTTTCTAATATATTGGTGATCTATAGGATCGACCATATAATACTTCATACGGAGCCATACTGATACTTGTCTTGTAACTGTTGTTATCGGCAAACTCTATTAGGGGCAAATAATCATCTAGTGTCCCCCCCAAATCTAGGATGCAAGTCTTGAGCATGTCTTCTAGTGTTCGAATAATTCTCTCTGATTGTCTATCCGTTTGAGGGTAGAATATCGTATTGAGTGATAATTTAGTCCTCATTACCTGTTGAAAACTGATCAAAAACTTAAAGGTAAACATAAGGTCTCTGTTTGATACCACTGTAACTTAAACTCCATATAGCCTAAGTATCTCTTGAATATAAATTCCAACTAACTTGTCCAAGGGGTCTATTACTCTAATGGTTAGGAAGTGGGAGGATTTAGTGAGTCAATCGACTATTACCAGAATCGCATCATGACTAAAACGTGTCTTGGGCAATCCCATTATAAAATCTATGGTGATATGCCCCCATTTTCATTCTGGGATTAGTAATGATTGGAGTAGACCGCCTAAGCATTGATGTTCGGCCTTTAACTTGTTGGCATGTGAGATACCTTAAAGATAAAATTAGCAATATCCCTCTTCATCTCATTTTATCAAAATCGGGACCGCATCCTTTAGTACATCTTGGTATTTTTCGGGTATATGGTGAACTTCAAACTATGAGCCTCTATCATGATATCTCTTTTTAGATCGACATTGCTCAGAATACACAACTTGTCTTGGAATCTGAGCAACCCATAAAAAAAAACTCGAAACCTTGGATTCAACCCCTGTTCTGTATCCTTTTTGAGGGGTGCTAAAGTAGAATAAGCCAGTTAGGCCTCCTTGATCCTCTTGATTAGCTCGGGTTGGATCGTTAAGTGGGCTAGACATATGGTCTATTTTAAGTCTTAGAGTTATATTCATTGTGTGGTCTTTATCATTCTGCACTCAGCCATCATCATATGAGCTAACATACTTGTACTTTTCCTGCTGAGAGTATTGACCACCACATTACCCTTGTTTGGGTGGTACAAGATCTTATAATCATAATTCTTAAGAAATTCTATCCAATACCTCTGACGCATGTTGAGATCTTTTTGTGTGAATATGTGCTTTAAGCTTTTACGGGTCTCTATAAAAGTAATGGCGTCATATTTTCAAAGCGTTGATAATTGTGGCAAACTCTAAATCAGGAATGAGGTAATTATTTTCACGGTTTTTTAATTGTCTGGACCCATAAGCTATGACATTCTTGTGCTGTATCAAAACACAACCCAAGCCTTGGTAAGATGCATCCCTGTATATTGTATATCCACATGTTCCATTTGGTATAGTCAACATCAGTGCGGCAGTCAATCTCTTTTTGAGTTTTGTAAAGCTTTTTTCACATTCCTCATTCTACTCGAATTTGACATTTTTCTTTATGAGTCATGTTAGGGGGACTACTATACATGATAATCCTTCTATAAATCTGCGGTAATAACATATCATACTCAAGAAACTCCCAACTTCCTTGACCATAGTCAGTTGTTTCCAGCCCGTCACTGTCTCAATCTTTTCAGGATTCACTAACACTCCTTCTTTTGATATTATGTGCCCTAGGAAAGAAATTCGCTCCAGCCAAAATCCATATTTACTCAATTTTATGTATAGTTTCTTTTCCTTAAGAATCTGTAAGACTTGGGTCAAATGTTGGACGTGTTCTTCTCTGTTCTTAGAGTAAACCAAGATATCATCAATGAAAATTATGACAAACTGATCCAAGAATGGTTTGAAGATCTTGTTCATCAAATCCATGAAAATTGCGGGTGCGTTAGTCAATCCGAACAGTATGACCAGAAACTCATAATGTACATACCGAGTTCTGAATGTCGTCTTAGGGATATTTTCTGCTTTGATCTTCACTTAATGGTATCCAAAATGTAGGTCAATCTTATAGAAGATTGGGGCACCCTATAACTGATCAAAAAGGTCATCAATATTGGGGATGGGGTACTTTTTTTTATTGTGACTCTGTTCAATTCCCTGTAGTTTATGCAAGACCTCAAGGTCCCAGCGCTTTTCCTTACCAACATAACTCTAACACCCTAATGAGATATATTGTGTCGGATAAAAACGTTGTCCTGTAACTCTTTGATATGTTTTTTTAGTTCTTCCATTTCAATACGACTCATCCGATATGGGGCAACTGAGATGGGTTAAGTGCCAAGTTGAAGATCAAATGGCGAATTCTATTTCTCGATTTACTAGCAGCCCTAGTAGTTCATTAAAGAATACGCCAGGGAAATTTTGAACGATAAGAATATCTTATATGTAAATTTCTTTCTTGGGTTTGCTTATCGCAGAAAAAGGAATAATTAAATTAATGGCATATGATTGAATTCAATATATTACCACCATGTGCTAACAATATTTGAGATTTTATTAATTAGTAAAATATTTTTTTTTAGGAATGTTGAATACAAGCCTCTTGTGGTAACAATCAACAGTAGTATGATACGCCACTAACTAGTTCATCCTTAGGATTACATCAAAATCCCTCGTATCTAGTGCTATTAGATCTACACTCAGTTCCTACCTAATATTTCTATGGTACAAGATTTATATATAACATTTTTCAGTAATGTTTCATTCCCAGGTGTAGACACCAACAATACAGAATCAAGACGTTCAGGTAGTACATTTAAATATTGAGTAAAAGTATTTGAAACAAAAGAATGCGAAGTACCAGTATCAATTAAATTATGTGCAAGATATTTACAAATAGTATACATATCCTAAATCACATATGGGTTGGTTTCAGTATCCTACTGGGTGAGCGTGTAGACTCTGCCCTGGACCGTAGCTTAATTTTGATTCTTCGCGCGCTCTCTCGCATAGTGTTTGGCACTCTTGCATATGTGATAGATGTTGTTGCGATGAAAGCAAGGTTGGTCCCCATGATTCTTGCAAAAGTGTTGGCAAATTTTACCATGTCCTATCATCAGTGCCTGGGAAAGAGTCTGTGGTGCAGACCTTGGCATCTTGTTTTGCTGGTTTGGTATAAGGGGTGTTGGTCTGCGATGCGAGATCGAGGGCCTGAAGTTGCCCATTGCTAGGGAAAAAATATGGATGTTCATCTCGATCAACTATGTCTTAGCCAAGACTGTTGAATATGTGTCAAACTCAAACAAATACAATTGCTAGTTGATCTCAGGATGAAGACCCCACTCAAACCTCTTTACCTTTTGCCTTCATTTGTCATACTTTCAAGGGAGTATCAGCCTAACACCAGAAACTTTCAAGCATACTTTGATATTAACAAATCTCCTTGGACCAATTGTGTAAACTCCATTTCTTTCAAATATCAAAGATGTTATAAAAGGTACTTATCGTTGAATGCTGCCAAAAATTGTTCCCAAGTAACCAGAATGGGCAGAAAAGCCTGCTTGAGTTGCCACCAACATCCTGCCTCACCTATGAGTATATACGTGGCAAAGATAACCTTTTATTCGGGAATCACTCCAAGTGTTGCGAAGACCTTCTCTGTCTCTACCAACCAATACTCAGCTTCCTTAAAGGTGGATGCCCCTGTAAAAGTAGATAGGTTAAGTCTCCATTGTAGGTGGAGCTGGGTCTTGCTGGAGAGGAACTGGATTATGCTGGGGAGAAATCTGGTAGCCTTGTAGCGGCTCCGGGTTGTACGGTAGGGGCACTAGATTATACTGCGGAGGTGTCGGATAGTACTGTAGAGGAACTAGGTTATACTGTGGTGGTACTAAATTCTCTCAATGTAGAGCTGGCTCATACTGTGGTAGGGTTGGAGGGGGATCAAACAATTCCCTTTTTTCTTCTCTAATCTACTGGGCAGAAATCAATCTCTCAAGCATCTCGAAGAGTCGATAAACATCCTCTCGTAGTGATCTCTCTCGGGCTGCTCTGTTTAGTGGGGGTCTTCCTCTCTTCATGTTTCCTTACCTACATCACATGACAATAGTTGAGATTTGAATTGCATTAAATTCGTTCAAACCTTATGTACAAGGAATGCAGCTTTGATACCAGCTGTAAAAGCTCAAACCCCTATCAGGGATTTCAAGCATTTAACCTAGTAATAATAATAATAATAATAATAATAATAATAATAACAACACTGAAATTTTCATTGAACAAGAAAATTAAAGGATCGAAGATTACATTCCTTGCACGTTTACTTAAAATACCCAAATAGGGGGCTAAAGGAATGTTTAGGACTTAAAAATGAGAAAATCACTACAAAGTAATTATTAACCTCGATTAGAAATTGGCAGAGTGGGAAGAGATAATTGCTTAACTAGTCTCTTAATGTAACGGCCCCAGAAATACCCAAAGGAAATAAATGATAATTAAAGTGCGGAAGTGTAATAAATGTTTAATGTTTACATTCCTTACACAATAACTTAAAGTACCAAACAGTGTTATAGAATTCACATTTTTGAAAGAAATACAAGAAATAAGGAAATGAACGAAAAATAAAGAAAACTAGCATCTACTCACAATCCTCTTGCGGATCGGGTTTTGAAACTTGGTCCTCTTGATTTGAAATGGTTAAATAAGGGATGAGTTACACTAGCTCAGTAAGGATATCACATTATATCACCGACACAGAAGTAAAGGTTGGTAGAAAATTAAAAACTACTAATGGAGCCCTAAATTTAGCAAATTCATTTATCAGTCATAAAGCTATTTACCGTCCACTTACCGTAATGGGATTTATAAAAATAACCTATACAGACAATAATATTATATAGATCATGATTTCATGTATAATCAGCAACATAACACATATTATAAACCTTTATCCATCATCAATAAATCAAACAATAATTGTCACTCTTTTTACTAGTCTGCTGGTATCCATGGGGCTTCATAGAGATATTCCTGCTACACGTGAACCATTTCCTTTAACATTCTCAATTACGGGCCGTCCTTATACCCTGTCCGATATGAGCGCCAAATTACAAAACTTCAATACTATGTCCGATATGAGGATGAAGCGGGTCGTCCCTATACCCCGTCCAGTATGAGCGCCAAATTATCAAGTCTCCATACCCCGTCCAGTATGAAACAACGTTCACGGTAGGATTTTCTATGTACTCGGTCCGTCCACCATCTCCCAGAATATCTAGTGAGATTGTCATTTCATCCATTCATTTAATCACACAATCTTTCCCGTTTGACCTTCTTTTTTTCCAATTTAGCCATAAACAGATAGAATAAACTATACATGCATTTAAAGCCATAAAATTAATTAACAAGATACTATCATGCATTTGAACTGTAATAATAATAAATAAAACAATAGTAAATAATTTCTGATTCTGCTTCCATTAGCAATTCGTAATTAATTATGCACATTTTTTAAATTCACACAAAATATCGTATTATTATTTACTTAGACTTCAATTCTTTGATAGGGAATAAGATGAGGGATCTTTACTCGATTTGATGCCCGAAAAGCTAAGCTGTTTACTACGCCTACGGGCGATCCCCAGGTTCCCTCAATTTTTCTTCAGGAATTAAAACACGCTATAAGTACCTACAAATATCCCAAATAAATCCAAAATAAGTCTCAGGGCCCACTTTGGCCAATTTCAAAATTTCGGCACGGCAGCTCTGTCGTTCTCCGACAACAGCGTCGTCGCCCGTGATGACAATCCGCTCAAGTCAGCTGTTTTCGGCCAAATTTGGCCGACTTTGCATCAATCCCTGCGAGAAAACACGTTAAGGGACCTTAATTGGCCAAAAAAACATAAAAAAAAATTGTAACTTACCGGTAGTAGGGTGCCCTGGTGCGGCGGCTCCTCCGGCTCACGTTGCAATTAGGTATTTTGCTCCGGTCAACCTGTAGAAAAGGACACAGATCTCATAACGGTGAAAAAATTATACAGAACAGGAATTGGGAAGGGCCTCATCGAAGGCATTTTGTGAAATTTCCTACAGTGACGTCGCCGGACTTCGCCCGTATTTTTTAGCCAATCAGCCGGTCTTTTTGCTCTGATTTGATCATGATGTGTTTAGAATTGAATTTTGAGCAAAGGAGAAAATTTTTATCTCGTTTGGTGATTGGAAGTAGCTCCGTCGTGGCGTGATCTAATCTAGATCGTTTATCGCGATCAAATTTGGACCATCCGATCACATTTAAATCTTGTCATTTGATTGTATTTGGGAGGGAACGCATCCGGACTGTCTGTGCGCGCGGGAACAAATCTGGGTTGTTCGATTACGGGTACATGGATCGCTCGTGTGGCCTCCTACGTGGCACAGCGTCAGCGTTCGCTGTCACACGGCGTGTTCTAATTCGCCGGAGCTACTGACTGAGGTTCCTACGTGGTAGAACTTTTTTAAATTATAGTTTGACCTCCGATTTCTGATTTTTCTTTTAAAAATATCACAGAACCCAAATTTTCATCCTTTTTCTCTAAAATTGTTTTCAATTTCATCCTTCTTCAATTTTTACTTCATTTTTACTCTAAATTAAATAAAAAAAAATTAAAAATTATATTTATTAATTTTAAATTACATTACAATTTTATTTGGGGTGTTAAAACTCTTCCCCCCTTAAAAGAAATTTGATTCATCAAATTTGTCTCTCTCACTCTCAATCAAATAGCTGGAGATATTAGACTCTAAAGTCTGATTCTAGCTCTCATATAGCCTCTCTCCATATGTGATTCTGCCATATGGCCTTTATAAAGGAAATTTCACGATTGTGGAGTAATCTACTTTTTCGATCCATATTGCCGACTGGTACTTCCTCATAAGACAGATCTTCCTGGAGTAGAAGGGACTCGTGGGCCAAGATATAAGAGGGATCGGGGTTGTACATGCGTAACATAGACACATAAAACACATTATGGATCTTGAAAAGTTCTGGAGACTGTGCTAGTTTGTAGATGGCGGTACTAATTCTGTTTAAAATTTCAAATTGTCTAATAAATTGAGGATTTAGTTTCTCCCTCTTGTCGAACCTACTGATTCCTTTGAAATGAGTGACCTTAAGGAATACCCGATTGCGTTTCTCAAATTCCAAATCACTCTTCCGAGTGTCCGCATAACTCTTTCTGTCTGCTCTGAGCTATCTGAATGTTCTTCTTAATCTTAACTATTTTGGTTGTAGTCTCTTCTATCAGATCTGGGCCGAACAGTTTTCTATCACCCACTTCTTCCCAACAAATCGACAATATGCATGAGCGCCCATATAACGCCTCATACGGAGCCATGCCAATACTTGCTTAGTAGCTATTGTTGTAAGCGAACTCTATCAGGGGTAAGCGG